AAATCCTCGATGATTTTTTGAAGGAATGCCCTGTGGATTTTTTTCTTGCGCTAAACGAATGTGGATTTTTTCTAGCGGAGCTCAAGAGGTTCCTGAAGTTTATATCTGTGATGGTCTTAGCTAAAGGGTCTTCTGTAATTGTTGTTGTTGCATAATGGTACATTTCTCTTGGGTATATCTAAGCATTGGTTTATTTGTTGGTTATTCAGGAATAGAGTTCAACAAATTGTTGGCGACATCAGTAATATGACGAATCGCTCAGGAAATGTCTTGCCACCTCCGATTGATGAATTATCGAATACATCGACTGAGAAATCTAGCATTAGAAATGCAACAAGTGTAAGAAACCTTAGTGTTTAGTTCTGCTCGTGGAGTTCTTTTTTAGCAAAGTATCTGAACATTAGTTCTCCTTTTTCAGCACAAAAGTTTCTGTATTTTTCTGATATAGTGTTTATGGATTCTTTGGTTTGATCTGCAAACATGTTCATCAAAAGCTTTTATGTGATTTAGGATGCAGCAAATGATGCAGTTAATTACAGTAGCTACACGGCTCATGGAATTCCTTATGATAAGGATGTAGATTCTGGTGTGCCGAACCGAATGACAACTTTTGTAGATATTGTTGGACGGTCCAACACTTCAGGTGCAGAGAGAGATGGAAATAGCAGTGAAGATTGTAGGATTTTGGATTTATCTTCTGACCTATCTTCAGTAACCATTACTAATGATAATCATGGTCATGAAACATATCCGAACACAACTCTGTTCAAAGTTTCATCTTCAAGTCACCTTGTCAATAATCTGTGGGGGAACCAAAATTCTGTTGAATTTTCTGATGAACCATTCAGGGAACATTATGTGTCTTCTGATGATCAAGGACTGAAGGATTCAAATAGCGTGGCTCAAAGGGCTTTTCTTATGTCATCTCGTTCTGCTCAATCCACAGAGGACTCCGGTGATCATTCATTAGTACATAAGTCATATAGTCCGAGTAGCAATGGAAGGGATTTTGGAGCTTTACATAATCAAGTGGATGAAGCTTCTCTGCCATTTTCATGTGTAAATGCAATATTAAATGAAGGAATACATGATATGAAATTCCAAAGTTCTGTCAAATCTGATAGGGTTTACAGAAGTTCTACCTCATTCTCCAATGAAGAAATAGTGCAGCACCTACGGAGGGTTGATAGTGATAACTCGACTAACTATGTGGATTCATCACTCAATGCTGTAGAAAGCAGTATTATTTCAAATATTATGTCAATCGACTTTGATTCATGTGATGATTCAATGGCCTTGCGTCGTAGCTTTGCTGGCTCGTATAATGAATCTGATGGGAAGCTTGGTGCTACCTGGAACTCTTTGCACAATGATCAATCGGGGTTCTCTTTCGTGAAGCAAGATGACTTTTCAAGGCAAGGGTGTGAATTAGAGTCTCCTTTTAGTAATATTGGTCAGGTATCAAAGAATTCATCCATCCCTCAAGATTTCAGAGAGAACAAGGATCAGTATGTGCAGAAGGCTTCGTATCAAAGTAAGTGTTGGCAAGGCTTTTCCTTATTTTATCAAGTAAAACAGTTAGATTTTTGCAATATGTTTTTATCCTTAAATTGATTTTCTTCTTTTTTCTTTCTTTCAAGTGCCTTTCCAATTTTATATTACTTATTCTAATGTGCGTATTGGATAGGAATTCTGTAAAATCAGTAAAGAACGTTATAAAATTGGGATCTTCTATGATGTTTGCTGCTGCATGCACCTTACTTTCTTGCATTAAATATTTTCTGTTGAAATTAGTCAAATCCTTGCTTATCTATAGGCTTTTCATTCTTTAATTATTAATTACTAGTAGAGAATAAAACATGACATTATCTTGGATTTTCTAACTCTGCTTTGTGTTAATGTGTTGGTTTCTTTCAGTTAATATAGTTTTTGATAATGATAATATTGTATTCATCAGTACATTAAAACCTGTTCCGGTTTCAGTTAATATATATAAAGACATTTTGTCATAGTTTGACAAGCTTTCTGGCTTATAGTTGATTGCTATTATCATTTAAATAGATAAATACACTATTAGCACACGTAGCTTGAGAAATGGAATTATTATCTTTGCTTTGTTTGGTTTTGCTCTCAAGGGAGGAAGAGCAGTTGAGTTTGCCAGGCTTCAAGTTGTATGTATACCAATGAGGAAATATAAAGGGATTTAATGAAAGGGGTTTATATATACATGTGCATTTCCGCTGACCTCTGTTCTTTAATTTAACCAGTTGCTGCACTGTAGTGCTCTATTTCATACTTTTGAGCATCTTTATACTGTAGTAGAGTGGTACATTATATAGTGTTCTATTTCATACATTTGAGCATCTTTATACTGTAGTAGAGTGGTATATTATATAGTGTTCTATTTCATACATTTGAGCATCTTTACACTGTAGTATAGCGGTACATTATTGATAAATGTTGCAGTTTATTGGTTTCCGTATACTGAAACTTCTGAGCTGTCTAACAGTCACTAGAACAAAAGTTTTGGCTCCACCTGGATTTTCAATGCCCTCTGGGGACCTGCTTCGCAGTTTTGCCTCATCTGATGAAATAGGACGAATCCCTCGTGCTCTCTCCGGTAACAACCACATTTCAATTTTTCATTGCATGATAAGCTGTAGTTTGTTGTGAATGAAGTTAACATATAGTTTCTTTTGCTGTTATTTACAGGAAGTCATTCAGTAAATATTTCATCAAGTTTGCTTCACACACCATCAACTGGAAGTATTAGCAGTGCAGGTGATATTGATTTTGTTGAACCTGCCATATCAAGCTGTGGAAGCGGCAAGCCGACAAATGGTTTTGATATCTCTGCCCGGGAAATCGGGTCAGCTTGTGTACCACAGAGGAGAGCCTTTGAAGACGAGGCAAGAATCTGGCATTTGATGCAACAAAAATCTGTAGATCAAGAAGGGAAATTCTCTCAAGTTTTTGCTTCACAAACACCATCTGTTCATCAATTACAAAGATTTCCTGGTCATGGCGGGGATGAATATTTTGGTCTAGATGATATATATGGCTTCTCATCGATGGTCAACCGACACCAAAGTTTTGATCCATCTCCCTATTCACAGTTTCCACAACAAAAGCTTGCCAATGGTAACATCTTTAATGGCTTCCAGCACAATAGTTTCCGCGATATCCATCATAGTAATGAAGTAGACTGCTTGACAGAACTCCAGAAAAATGAGAGATTAGGTTTCAAAAATTTCTATGCTGGATATGGAGATATTATGTTCCAGGCGCCCAGGTCTGGCGATGTATACACCAGAGTTTTTGGAATGTAACCTGTGACTCTTTGAAAAAAGAATGAAATTGTCCCCAATTTCTATTTTGCTATGTTGTCTGCAGAAATTATTAATATGTTACTAATTTGTTTTGGATTTTCGTTTGGATTGTTGGGGGGGGGGGGGGGTTGAAATTGAGTTTTCATTTTCCTATCATCCGTTAGCTGATTAAAAGAGCTCGTTTGTCACATTAATTTTAGATGAATACAATATTATCATTATCAAAACTATGTTAGATGAAAGACGATCGTATGATGTGTGTACCTAACATAGAATAAACGTTAGCAACTAACATCTTAGCTATAACAGACAACTGAAACATCACCTGTATTGAGATACGACCTTGCGCGGCTAGAAGTTCAAGATTTTTAGATATAACTTTTTTCAATTTTTGTCATAGTAATTAGTTTCTTAAATGCTGCAACAATAGAGGTTTTTTTTAACAATATTGATTGTCACTTCTCATGATTAAAATCTTGTTTTTTTGGTCAAAACAAAAAGTTCTTGACTAAAATCATATTAACTCAATTTTTTCCCCGACTCATAGCCTGTTTGGCCAAGCTTCTAAAATCAGCTTATTTTGATAAGTAGTTTTTCTCATAGCTTGTGTTTGACTAATTAATTTGAAAATCACTTTTAAGCATGAATTAGTGTTTGACCAAGCTTTTACAAAGTGCTTCTAAGAGTATTTTTTTCAAAACCGCTTTTCAAAAAAAGTTCTTTTGAGGAGAAACTACTTTTTTCTGGTTCTCCAAAATTGCTTCTGTTTCTACGCAAAATACTTTTCCCCTTTCTACAAGCTTGGTCGCACACTTCAATTTATTATTATTTTGTTTAAAAAAACAAGTGCTTTTTGGTTTGGAGAAGGTTGGCCAAACATGCTTTCATTAGACAACTGACCAATTGCTCGACTATCACTCCGTGGCAGCTGCTAGACTTAGAGCCCGTTTGGATTGACTTAAAAAGATAGCTTTCCAACAGAAATAGCTTTTAAGCCAAAAAGTAATAAGTTGGGGTTGACCAGCTTATTGATTTTGACTTGTTTTAATCAGCTTTTAACTTATTTTATGCACTTTTAACTTTGCCAAACACCTAAAAAAGCTAAAAAGAACTTAAAAGCTGAGTTGACTAGCTTAAAAGCCAATCCATACACCCTCTTAGTTGACCTAGTTGCTTATTGCCCCACTATGAAGTATGAACCAGGCTACAACAGAGCTCATCTTCACCTATACTCATGCAAGAACATAAAAACCATGGACCCTGAGGAACTCAAGATTTAGCTAAACTAAGTCATTCATCAATCTCAGCTCAGACCACTATTTGACTATGATCTTTTTTTAAAAAAGATTTACAATACATAAAGGGGAGGGGATGCCCACCCACAAGGTGGAAGTTTTGGTAGCCAACTAGCCGGGGTCCAACTAATTAGTGGGTCCAGATCACTTAACAGACGGAGGGCGTATTTTTGCCAAAGTATAATGGTGAGGGATAAATATGAAGAAAATTTGAAATATTGTTCATATCTACCCCCCGTTTTACTATTCGATTGTATATATGACCCTTCTCCGTCCTTATAAAGCATGCTTACTTCTTTTTTTGTTAAGCATGCTTGCTTGCTCTGAGTCACGGGGCATTATGTTTTGGGGGCAAAATTAACCTTCATGCGCTTGATGAATGCCAAAAGAAAGTTCTTGCATTTCAAAAATCTTTTGACATTCTCCTTAGTCTGCCAAAGTAGAAGGCAGGCTATGAAATTTTGATTAAACTGATTACTTCAGTAAAACATCAATTTACTTCACATACAAACTGTTCAGCAGTAATCTTTGCATGATTGTGGATGCTGCGTAATGGCAGAGCTCAAACCTGAGACTGCAAAAAGAAAAAAGTGGTGGTGAATATGGGTATAAAACAACTTTCGGATAAAGAAATATCGAAACAAAGGCAGTAGATAAGCAATTTACCAAGAAACGTTTTTTATAGCTTTCCAGAAGCTCCTTTGGGTCGCGTTTAGTTACTGTATAAGCCTCAATTTGGTTCATCTCCTGCAATAAATGCACCGCACTACATCAAGTGACGTTGCACTGAGTCATAATGTCTGTACTAATGTTTATATACACATGAGAAAACTTGGATATTTGGGCGGTAATATCTGTTATCCGCATAAAAGTCCAAATATTGAAGAAAGATAGCATTTGAATAACTTCTACATAAAAGTGGCTTGGAAATGAATGAACAAAAGGTACAGATAACATTTTTGGGTGTTTCGCATTACTGTTACAATAGTTTCTGGAAAATGAACTTCAAACAAATGATACACGATGATTGATTGGATGATTCTGGAAATTTTGATATGCTTCTGTTATAGAATGGGCACTATAAGATTTAAGTTGGCTAAAGAAGCTACGGATTTAAAGGTAAGGTTAAGGTCTGCGTACACACTATCCTCCCCAGACCCTACTTGTGGGATTACACACTGGGTTTGTTGTTATTGTTGTAAAGAAGCTACGTGTGCATATAATTGTACATACACTCTTTGGCTTCAAATTATAGGTGACCTGTAGATTCTCCTATTGCATGCTAAGTATGAGGATAGCACTACAGAACTCAGGTAGCATAAATATAAACTTTCTAGCTTTGAAACAACTTTTTCCAGACATTCACTCCCTAAATCAACAGCAAGCAGCAACAGTTGGAGAGGTATGGGCAAACCAAGGTTGGAACCTAACCTTCACAAGGCGTCTTGAATGATTGGGATATTGGCAGAGTAACACAGTTCTATAATACTCTAGCGCAGTTTAAAGGGATTTCAACTAGGAAAGACTGCATGATATGGCAAGGGCATAGGCAAGGAAAGTTTTCAGTTAAATCTGCCTACAAGGAGTTCAATTTTTCAAACAATCAGAATGGGTGTTGGCCATGGAAGATGATATGGAAAGTTAAGATTCCATACAAAGTTGCCTGCTTTACATGGTTATTGGCAAAAGAAGCAGTGTTGACTCAGGATAACCTTATCAAGAGAGGTTATCAACTTTGTTCCAAGTGTTACTTATGTGGACAAGAGGCAGAGACAATAAATCATCTCTTTTTACATTGTAAATGGACAACTCATTTATGGAGGATATTCATTAGTTTGAGAGGCATCAGGTGGACTATGCCAAGAAGAATATTTGAGGTACTAGCATGCTGGAACAGCGAGGGTATCTCTTCTTGTGAGAAAGAGAGATGGAGAATTGTCCCTGCTTGCATTTGGTGGACAATTTGGGAAGAAAGAAATCAGAGATGTTTTGAGGACAAGGCCAGTAGCATCCAAAAATTGAGAAATGAAATGTCTTGTCCTATTCTATTTTTGGTGTAAACAAGAAGTCTTAGAAGAACCTGAATCTATTTTTGATGTATTAGAATCCTTATGAGAAGACTAAGGACTAGGAGTTTGTTTTGGTTCTTCTAAATACGGGGGACTACACACCCTTTGTGTAGTTTGTTATTAATATACAAATATGTTACCTTCTCAAAAAAAAAAGAATATAAACTTTCTTTTGAAAGATAACCGAGAAATCCCTAAGGGACAGTAGCGTATGCCGTATGGTTCAAAACTTGGTGGATGATGGGCCCTCCCCACTACCATTATCCACAACCGGCTTTTGTATGCAGCAGGTTTCAAACCCGTAACGTGTGCTTAACCCACACATCAAAAGCTTCCCTCTTACCACTAGACCAAAGCTTTGGCGGCAGAACATCAATATAAAGCTTTAGAGAAACACCATGCCATTGGAAAAAGCATCCAAGAAACACCATGTTCTAGTACGAATAATGCTTATATTTTGGTATATAGCTATAGATAAAATTATATTCTGGCAGTCAAACCATGCCATTGGAAAAAGCATCCAGGAAACATTAATCCCCGTAATACCTCGATCCATGCTGCAAGTTTTGACCTGCCTGTTGCAATATCAAAGTTCTTTACATCGAGCAAGAAGGGCTGAAATCTTTCAATGAATGGAGCATAAGCTATATCCACCTGTCCGTCACACATATAAGGTAGTAAATATTCATGCACTTACAGAAAATAATCCCATGGTGAACACTAACAGCTAGTTTGGATGGTTGTTACATATTATTTCATAATGCATTGTATTGTATTACATTATATTGTTTGATGAATAAAATATTTGGATAGATTGTATCATTTTTCATTATTTCATGATGTCGCACACCATCAATATGAAGAATAAACTTGCAATATTACGAATAAAAAGTAGGGTACGGGATATAATTATTATATAAAGGATAAAGGATAAAATATGATCTATATATAATTAAGGGAGAGGCAAAAGCATATTATTAAGACAAGTGGCATAACCACAAAAAGCCAAGTGGCATTGTTCAGACAAAATAAATTACCTTTTCAACTAAAAAAACCTGTTTAAATTTTGAATGAATTAGTTAATCTATTTGAATTAACAAATATAGATATCTTATAATTAGCTATATTAAAAAAACAAAAATATAAAAAAATAACTACCCATTCAAATTGGGGAGTAGTTTCTTTCTAATATAGTAGTCAAATCCAATTTAAAATTCGGGAGTAGTTTCAAAGTTGGAGTTTTAAGACAAAATAAACTACCTTTCTAACTAAAAAATTTTTTGAATTTTAAATTTTGAATTAATTGGTTACTCTATTTGAATTAATAAATACATATATATTATAATTAGCTATAATTAAAAAAAAAGAACTACCCATTCAAATTGGGAAGTAGTTTCAAGTTGGAGTTATAAAAATATTTTAAACATAAAAAATAAATGAAAAAATAAAATTAGCTGTAACAAAAAATGGAAATATATGAATAGAAGAAATACCCATTCAAATTGGGGAGTAGTTTCAAGTTAGAGTTTTAAAATTATTTTAAAATAAAAAAAACAAAAATAAAGAAATAAAAAAACTTTCATACAAAAAGTCAAGTGGCATTGTTAAGACAAAATATTTTTCAAGTGGCATTCACAATGGGGAATAGTTTCAAGTTGGAGTTTTAAAATTATTTTAAAACTAAAAAACAAAAAATAAGAAAAAATAAAATTATGTACAGTAAAAGACGAAAATATTAAAAAATAAAAACAAAAAAAAACTACTTATTCAAGTTGGGGTGTAGTTTTGGTTACTCCCTTTCTAACTAAAAAAATCTTTGAATTTTTAATTTTGAATCAATTGGTTACTCTATTTGAATTAATCAATAAAGATATCTTATAATTAGCTACAATAAGAAAAAGGAAAAACTACCCATTCAAATTGGGGAGTAGTTTCAAGTTTGAGTTTTACAAATATTTTAAAATAAAATAAAACAAAAAAAGTTTAGCTATAATAAAAAAAATATATATAATAAAAAACTATCCATTCAAATTGGGGAGTAGTTTCAAGTTGGAGTTTTAAAATTATTTTAAAATAAAAAAAATAAATAAACTTTCAATTCAAAT